ATATTCATTACGTAAACGTTATGTTGTTGCTGAAATGGTTCTGTACTGCAACGATGCAGAGTTGAATACTCTGGTTTCTGTACTATTGACGAAATGTTACCTCACGCACAGTCCATTCATAAAAAGATGGGCCCTGGCTCTGGCTCTGCTCCCGTATTTGGCGGTTTTCCGTGATTTTGTCGTGCAGTGCTGCAAAATTTGAAATTTGAAAAATGGTCCAAAAAGAGTACCTGAACTGGGGTTCGAACCACATAGTGCACTGTTGCAGGTGGGGTCAAACGGCCTGGATTTTGATGGTTTTTCCCAATTCAGTGCTTTTGGGGCAAAACCTGGCCGAAATCCTATTCTTGCTAGGACTTGCGTTTTGGAGAAAAAGACTACAGAAACACAATTGGAAGAGGATTCCATAGGGGATTGCAGAAAATTTTCTAAAAAAATCAAAGTTTGACCCATTTATGGCCAAAAGCTAGAAGTCCATCTTTTTATGAATGGACTGTAGACTTGCACAAACACGTGTGTTCACACCAACACACAGATGTGTGTACTCATGTGCTCACATTGTCACCAGAGGTGTGTACTCATGTGCTCACATTGTGTGTACCCATTAGGCCTAGCCCAAATTTGCTGGCAATGCTTCCAGCAAAATATCGAAATTTCTCACGAAAAGAAATTGCTGGCAAATTCCGAGCAAATATCGAATTTACAGAGGATCCGGGTGTGTTTTGGCAATTCTATTCTAATTTCTTTGGTTTCATTGGGCCAACGTCGTGCTGAAATAGCTCGTGCAGGTTTTCAGGGGTACATAAATGTAAAATCATGCTACAAAATCCGTAATACTGACACCATTTTCAGTTTTGCTTTCCTCATTAGAGTCACCATCCATTTTTACCAAAGACTAGACGGTTCATTCAAAGCCATTTTTGCCACAAAGCAGGAGCAGAATGGAGCAAAATATCGGAAACGAAAGGCAATGCCAAGCAAAATATGGAAAGTGCTTGGGCAAAATTTGCCGGCAAAATATCATTTGGGCTAGGCCTAGTACTCATGTGCTCACATTGTCACACAGAGGTGTGGAGTCATGTGCTCACATTGTCACACAGAGGTGTGGAGTCATGTGCTCACATTGTCACACAGAGTCAGTTAGTTTTCTGATGATTGCCTATGGGCATGAAACCATTAGTTACAGCGAATGATGCGTGGTGCTCTGTGCCGTGTGTTACACAGAGTATTGTACTTGTGTGTTTGTCATACGACAATACGGAGCTCTGCACCCAGTACCAGTGTGTTCAGACAATCTGTGTGTTAATCTGTGTGTTCCTTCGTGTGTTCACCCGTGTGTTCATCTGTGCGTTCATCTGTGTGGTCATTTGAGTGTTCATCTGAGCGTCATCCATAAGTCCGTCCGTGCGTTCATCCGTGCGTTCATCAGTGCATCCATTCGTACACTCATACTATGATAATAACCCCCAAGACTCAAGAGTGTGCAACTCCACCTATGGGGTCTGCGACGGCAGATCTTCACATCACGTGATGAGCCCGTACACATTATTTGCGCCCTGTGCATGATAGATACAGGGTTGTACGCAGCCCAGCTTTGGGTACAACAGATCTCTTGTGGTCACTTTGCACTGTTTGCCAGTGTAACCTATTGAACCATGTCACGTGATGTGAAGTTCTGCCATCGTCGCAGCACTGTATAGAGGCTGTGCAGGCAATTGCAACACTCTTGGGGGTTATGTACTCTTGATAGTAGTACTTCTAGCCAGTGTGCAGTAGCAGCTTACTTCGTCAGATGTCATATTGGTCACCGGTGTGCAGTCGACTTCGATGATACGATCTCCTTCCTGGATCCCGTTACCATCGCAACTGGTAATCACTGTCCAGCTAGAGTCAGACACTGAGCCTTGACGACGAAATATACTGTAGTCATGACGACGACAACAGAATCAGCAGCAACAGCAGCAGCAGCAACAGTAGCAACAGCAGCAGCAACAGTAGCAGCAACAGCAGCAGCAGCAACAGCAGCAGCAGCATAAATATCAACAACAACAACAACAACACCAACACCAACACCAACACCAACACCAACAACAACAACAACAACAACAACAACAACAATTCATGGCAATATTTCAAAGTACCCTAGCAGGGAAAGCAGAAAACACTTTTCCCATCTCAGGGCCTGCGCCACTTGTACGGCTGGTGCGGCCATGACCCTACCAGTTTTTACCAATTGCAGCATTCATGGGCTGCCCAGTACGCAATTGATTATCTGCAAGTATGTAATAAGCTATCCTCACGCTTGCCTCTCTAGAGTCTTTTCTGATTGCCCGCAAACTCCAACCCATTTACACATTTAGCAAACTTCGCTCCTCAACTCCAAACTCCAAAAACGGTCTCTTCACTGCTATTCAAATGCAGTGAAGAGACCGTTTTTGGAGTTTGGAGTTGAGAAGTGAAGTTTCCTAAATCGCTAGAGTCTCTCCCTTTTAAACAGTTCTCCTTGTCAAGTGAGGTCAACTGCGCTAGCTGCATACTGAGTATCTGCTGCCACAGGAATATGCAGCTGAAACAAACATCCTGATGCACAGAGATAGAGATGTATCCCATCTGAATTTTGGAATTTGACATGGGGAAGTAATCGGTCCTGTGGCCGACTCAGGGCCGTACCACCCCGCACGAGCTGGCCCCGGGCCTGCATCTCTCTACAGTCACAGAGTACCTGATTGTACTGCCAATGGCAATGGACTGTCAGAGTTAGATCTCAAACGGGGCACTTCAAGACGAAAAAATCCATCGTTATCTCAAGAAGCAGATATCCTAAAACAATTCATTTTTCTTCTCACTACTAGACGATTGAAGGAGGATTGACTGGAGGCAGAGATTGCTAAACTTTGTGCTCGGCATTGCGGGTATTTTGGCAAATCAGCCACTCGTTAATGTGCAAATGCTGAAGATACAGTACATCTCCGCGGAAGATTTCTTTCGAGTGGCTTCATGAGACAGAGCAATGCGAGCGCGAGAACAGAGACAGAGCGACCGAAGGATGGAACGATGGGTGGATAGATGGGTGGATGACTGGATGGATAGATGGGTGGATGGATAGAGAGGCAGACAGCGAGAGATAGATAGATAGATGAGAGAGAGAGAGAGAGAGAGAGAGAGAGAGAGAGAGAGAGAGAGAGAGAGAGAGAGAGAGAGCTAGCACTCTGGCGCTAGAGCAAAGGGCTATCTTAATGTCTGTGGTGCCTCCTTTGCACCATGGCTGGTAGCTTGGCCTACTTAGCTCGTAGCTGTACTGATGAGGCCTTTATGGCCGAAACAGCTTGCTGTCTACCGCATTGGATATTACGCTCCTCGACATTTGTCTTGTTGAGCACTCTCGGTAGGCTGCTCTAGTGCTGCTGCATTACGCATTGCCCGCTACTTTTCGTAGTTAGAGCACTCTACGGACGAGGCCTTTATGGCCGAAACAGCTTACTGTCTCCAGCATTCGGTAGATAAATAGATAGAGACAAGAGGGCGGGAAGGGGGGGGGGGGGGGGGCTGGCATAGCATGACAGAGAAGACATACAGAAGCAGGATACAAAGAAGAAGGGGAAACCTAAGAAGGCAGGACACAGAGAGACAAAGACACAGAGAGACGTTACACACCACAGATACTATACAACTGCAGTGCTGACCAATGAAATCCAGGCGCGTCACTCAAGTGCGCGACGCGCGTTGCACAGCCCTAGACCTGCGAACACCTGGGCAGCGAAATGGTGCAAGACGCAAACATGAGTGACGCGACTGGAGATCCTTGAGCAGCATCGTACATGCTGGGCAGATGAAGCAAGGAACTTACTGTGACAAGATGTGACCACGCTTTTTCTTCTTTGGACTATCACGTGCTGTGATTTGCAGCATGCTAATTGCGTCACGAGCAAAGTGACTGTGGTCACGATACGCGTCTTGGAGCTAGGCCGCTTTTGCCGAAAGCAGTTCTCACTGTAGACAACGTGTGGACAATGTGCGTGTGCGTGTATGTGCGTATGTGTGTGTGTGCGCGCGCGTGTGTGAAGTAGGACAGACACAACACAAACACACAGAGCAGAACACAATCAGAGACACACACACAGCGAGCGAGCGAGCGAGAGAGAGAGAGAGAGAGAGAGAGAGAGAGAGAGAGAGAGAGAGAGAGAGAGAGAGAGAGAGAGAGAGAGAGAGAGAGAGAGAGAGAGAGAGAGAGAGAGAGAGAGAGAGAGAGAGAGAGAGAGAGAGAGAGAGAGAGAGAGAGAGAGAGAGAGAGAGAGAGAGAGGAGAGAGAGAGAGAGAGAGAGAGAGAGAGAGAGAGAGAGAGAGAGAGAGAGAGAGAGAGAGAGAGAGAGAGGGGGGAGAGAGAGAGAGAGTAACGGCTGAAAAGATGCGGAATGGAGGAGTAAGTACAGCCAAGAGTACATGCACTTCACCTACGGCACATGTACACGCACATACAAGGTAAGAGTTTCACACTCTTGCCGTCTTGACCGGTTATCCACTCATGGAAACACAGAGGTGAGTGTGTAGGGGTATGCTATAACACAGAGGTGGTGAGTGTGTAGGGGTATGCTATAGCACAGAGGTGGTGAGTGTGTAGGGGTATGCTTACCAGAACAGTTTTTGCCGGTCGACTAGCGCAAACGAGTCACCCTCGCCAATAGGCTGAGAGCAACGTTCGCAGATGAAACATTCAGGGTGATATCGCTGCTTGCCAGCACACTGGGAAGCGAGACAGAGAGAGAGAGAGAGAGAGAGAGAGAGAGAGAGAGAGAGAGAGAGAGAGAGAGAGAGAGAGAGAGAGAGAGAGAGAGAGAGAGGAGAGAGAGAGAGAGAGAGAGAGAGAGAGAGAGAGAAGAGAGAGAGAGAGAGAGAGAGAGAGAGAGAGAGAGAGAGAGAGAGAGAGAGAGAGAGAGAGAGAGAGAGAGAGAGAGGAGAGAGAGAGAGAGAGAGAGAGAGAGAGGAGAGAGGGAGAGAGGGAGAGAGAGAGAGAGAGAGAGAGAGAGAGAGAGAGAGAGAGAGAGAGAGAGAGAGAGAGGAGAGAGAGAGAGAGAGAGAGAGAGCGAGAGAGAGAGAGAGTGAGAGAGATTGAGAGAGAGAGAGAGAGAGAGAGAGAGAGAGAGAGAGAGAGAGAGAGAGAGAGAGAGAGAGAGAGAGAGAGAGAGAGAGAGAGAGAGAGAGAGAGAGAGAGAGAGATTGAGAGAGAGAGAGAGAGAGAGAGAGAGAGAGAGAGAGAGAGAGAGAGAGAGAGAGAGAGAGAGAGAGAGAGAGAGAGAGAGAGAGAGAGAGAGAGGAGAGATGTTCTTTACATAAACTCATTCAGGGAAACACAGTCCATACACATCCCCAAATGTCCCCCGCCCCATGGACACCCCCCCCCCCCCCCCCCCTACACCCACACCCACACGCCCACACTCTCCCTCTCCCACACACATACAAGCACAACAAAACCTGCTGAAATCACATGACATGTCACTACTACACTAGATTACAACATAAGGGGCCGTCCGTAATTATCCATCTTTTTCACGAAGTGAAAAAGTTTCATTTATGGGTGGGTGGAGGAGAGTTTCATTTTGAAAATTATCGATAGCTGACACATCAGTCCATTCTAGCTGTCAAGTCAATATATTTTCGTTGAAGGGGGTGGGTGGGTGGGTGGGTGGGTGGGGGTCATAAGTTCTCTCTCTCTCTCTCTCTCTCTCTCTCTCTCTCTCTCTCTCTCTCTCTCTCTCATAACTAAACTTTTTCGGTCCGTGAAAATTATCGATAATGCCGGATGGCCCCTAAGTTTATAACGCCACAAATGACATCACATACCCTCACCACATCATACATTACATGACACCACACTGAACTATAGTAAGTTATAGTCGCGGGATCCACGTCAGCATCGCTTGAATGTGCAGAAACACACATCCTAGTCTTTGCATCCACCGATGTCACATGACATCACAGTCATGACATCACATGACATCACAAGACATCACAGTCATGACATCACATGACATCACAAGACATCACAGTCATGACATCACATGACATCACAGCAAGAGTAGATAAACAAGAGTGTGCAACTCGCGGATGGGTTGGCCCACGGCGGAATTTTTTGTTGATGTAATCTTTTCGACGACGCACGCGCTGCGAGCCTTTTGGAGAGGTTTCCCTCGTGCACTTGGCGGGGCTTTACACTACAAGGTCGGTGCCCAGCACGTGCTCTCACACTGCTCTGCGGCAAAGTCCGCGTTTCCCTGGAAAAAGGTGACGTCAACAAAAAATTCCGCCGTGGGCGGGGGTATTTGCAGATTGTGCAGGAGAGATCCGGAGTTGCACACTCTTGTTTATCTATTCTTGATCAAAGTCATGACATCACATGACATCACATGACACAACTTACCATCATAGGTCCAGTGATGCAGACACGGCAGTGGTTACACAGTGTGCCAAACTGAGTAAAGAAATCTTTCGTGCAGTACGGCTCTCCTCCGTGTTCGTAGTAAGTACAGGTCAGTGCTTGCTGGCAGATTGTACAGCTGAGAACACACACACACACACACACACACACACACACACACACACACACACACACGTCAAGAACAGGAAAGTCAACACACGCAGACACACATACGCACGCACGCGCACGCACACACACATACAGCCAACCTGGCGAATAATCGCCGTCTGGAGGAATGTAGTGCAGAGTATTACCAGGCTTCGCTGGATGAACACCTTTCATCGTGTGCGCGAACCCGAAAGCGATATTCGCAGTACCCTACTCCCCCGATTGTAAGTGGCAGCTCATTTTCACGTCCAAGCCAAAGTGCCTCAATACATTCACATAATAATTAAAGTTAGGGGTGAAACAATTATACTGAATATTCGAATACTCGTTTGGATTTTCCGAATATAATCGTACTCGGAATAAATCAGAGTACTCGCTCATACATGGTACATACATTTACCACAGAAGTCTGCAGTTACAGAGCAGCAGTCAGCAGATATTGATGTGCAGACTGTGTGGTGAACATTTGTACACGAGTAGAGAGAGCCCAAATGACCCACCAACCAATACACCTGCGAAAAGGACTGCCAATCGGTTCAATCAGGGTTGTATCGTGGATTTTTAAGGCCGTTGGTGTACGATTTTTAGGATATCAAGAATACTCGAATACTCGAATATTCGATCGGAGAAAATCAGAGTACTCGAACTCGGGATCTAAGTGTCAACTTTCACCCCTAATTTAAGTAAGAAGTCACAAAATAGTGGTTGCGACTTCGGCGATGAGTTTTTTTAGGAATGGATTTGCTCCCACAATGGAGCTCGCGCTATTCCGCCGACTTGACTGACTCACGACTGCCATCCAGAGCACACGAGACGTCCATCGAACCTTCGACTCGGCAAACCTGCAAGAAAGCACCACTCCCTGCTCAATACACAGTGTTTCGGGGAATTCACCCCTCATCAGTTGAGCTTGAATAGCGCGGGCTCCAGTGTGGGAGCAACCCATTCCTAAGAAGTCACAGTGGATTGTAAGCCGCGCCCCCTTCTTCGCCCTTGAAGTTTAGTGTAAAAAGGTGCGACTTACATTCGGGAAATACGGTATTAAACGTCCTGACTCCGCCATCGTGTCACACATTCCTACCACCCATACCAGCGAGTGCACACAGTGGCTGCGTTCGATTACGCACTTGATTCGATTCATGAGTGGAATCTCGCCGTTCGACTTCATGTCATGAGCCCTGGAACCGGTTCGGAATCCATTCACCCTGGTCACATGGGGTGGTGTGAACAGCGCGAATCGATTCGCTGGCATAATCGAACGCACTCACTGCTACAATCCATTCAGAAATGAGGCATGATTATCTTGCTTACATAGCATGCCCAGTTTATGCCTTGTGTCTCCAGGTCAGGTGACCTCACTATTGGTAACCCAACTTGGACGGAGATCTCCTCACCATAGACGAAATGAAGTTGGCGGGTCTCGCTATGTGTGTGTGTGTGTGTATGTGTGTGCGTGCACGCGTGTGTGTGTGTGTGCGTGTGTGTGCGCACGTGAACGTGATTTTCCGAGAGGGAGTGGTCAATGATGTTGCCTTTTCGAGTGATGGCAGCAGACATTTGATTTGCAGTACTCACTATGCTCGTATGCACACATGCAGGGGCGTACAGCAGATATGTACCGGTACGTGTACGAGTGAGTGCACGTACACACACACACACACACACACACACACACACACACACACACACACACACACACACACACACACACACACAGCAACATACAGTTGAGGTGCCCGTGCCTGTACGTGCCTACGTAAATATACTCATAATTATACTCGTACTGCCAGAGACTCCAGTGCCGAGAAACAGTTCTGTGGAGAAGTACCGCAGCTGGTACAGGGGAGAGGGAACATGCTCTCGCCTGCAGCATGCACCCTGAGGCCTGACCTGGGACACTCTGTTTCGTAATGCATTCATGCAGCGCTGCAAGTATGCATGAAGTATGGGAACAACGTCGTTACGTGATACTCAGTATGCCTGTAAGGCTGTATGGTACTGTACGGTACTTACACGAAGCAGTGACAATGCCACACGGAGTCCTGCGCAGCCACAAACTTCTCGTCTTCGATATACTCGCCGCACCTTTTGCAGGTGGTGGCCATATCGACGGCTTTATCCATGGTTGGCGAGAGTTGTAGCTAGACAGCCGCCGAGCTCACTGAAGACGTGCTCACACTCAAGAAATTCTCAAACTCTCAACAGCATTAGTTTGTATGAAAGTGCTTGAATACGCACAGCCCGATGACAACGTCCGACGAAGTTTCATGGACCGTCACACTCCCAGCAGGAGTTCCACTTCACTACTCAAATGACTTGTCTAGAAAGGCCCTTTGGCTTTCGTTCAGTCCGGTGCAAGGTGTGTAACTCGGGCCGAGGTGATGACAACACCCCAAGGCCTGGCTTCGAAGATTATGTCACTTGCAATCTCGCCCAAAACAGCAAAAACTGGCAGCCACCAAGCCAGTAGTGGCAGCCACATGCAGGGCTAGCTAGCTAGCTAGCTCACTAATCTCCACTTCATCAGAAAGGCAAATGCCAAACTCAAGAATCATGACCTTGCACAGCGGACGTCCCGCAAAGGTAGATATCGTCGACGACCAGGTTGCTGTCCAAAATTGCAAAAAGGGCCATCAAAAAGCTGTCAAATCTGCATGTCGATATGCCACTGCACTGCCGCCAGCACCACCACCCTGGCCTCGTTTGTAGTATAGATCTACATGTACGTAGATCCACGTGTGTACTCTTTCAGCTTGTGGATAGCATCAGCAGTCAGCTATCATCATGATCATGCATATCAGGAAGTTATAATACGGTACTATTTTTACTACTCCTGCACTGCATGCTAATGTCATATACAGAAGCCTTGCTTGGTAGTTAACATGTTTTTCGATTTTGACAGCATGTTACAAGGCGAGGACGCGTAGTGCTCCTGACTACAACCATAAACCGGTTGGCAGAGTCCCGGTCTTGCGACCATTTGAACCGTATTGGGAAAACCCAGGTTCGGACCCTCGTTACTCTACGGGTTGGTAGGATTTTTATAATTTTCGTTTTTTTGTGTTGTAGAAGTCGTCGTGTTGCCGCCGTAGTATTGTTCACGTTGCTGCCGCTGCAGGGATCACGTCTGGAAGGATTTGTGATGTTATTTTCTTGTCTTCCTCTGTAATTAAATTATTTGTGATTTATTTCTTTTTTCTTTTGTTCTTTTGTTCTTTTTCTTTTTTCTTGTCTTTTTTCAACTTCTGCCCATGGCGTCCTTCTCTCAGCTCGTCAGCTGTAACAGTCATAGTCATCACCATGACGACTGTTGTGAGAAGGTGCTCGCTGCCCGACGAGGTTGGTGATGTCCCGACGAGGCCATGGGTAGGCCTTCACCACGTCGGAACACCCCGTCTGCACGTTGGTGTTGTGGTCTGGGTGTTGATGGACGTTGATGTTGTTGTAATAGTTGTTGTCGTTGTAATTGTCGTTGATTGTTGTTGTTGTTGTTGTTGTTGTTGTTGTTGTTGTTGTTGTTGTTGTTGTTGTTGTTGTTGTTGTTCTCCTTAGTGTTGTTCTCGTTGTTGCTGTTGGTCTTGGTAATACTAATAGTCTTGTTCACGGACCTCATGAATTCCACAAATAAAACAGTGTTATATTTCTTGAATCAGCTTCAGGGTTACTTTTCCTTCAATTATGAATGATTTGTGGAATGTTGCAATTGGTAACATGGAAGCATAAGTTCAGTGCAGCTTCCAGTATGTTGTTCAGGTGAGGTACACCGGTTTTTGGGGATCAAATGTCGGAAGTCAGCATTGCTTACCTCGGCTGTTGCGCTGGACCGTCTTGGGTTCACTCGTAGTTAATTAATTGTGCGTCCCCCCAGGGGGTTTGGGCTCTCCGGTATTAATCCTTTGTTGAACGAGAAATTGTTTACTAATTAATTATTGATGAAGGGGTTAGTGTTGTATCACGTTCTTCGTGGCGTGGGCTGAGTCTTCTGTCAGGTGGACGGAGCTATAAAACACACAGACAGGACGGCGGTTATTGGTGTATCGAAGGAGAAGAGAAGTATCACTGGCGGGTCTCTGGGAGAGACACACGTGTTGACTTTGGACTTACCGGGAGATCTCTCCAGGTTGTCCGAGGAGCTGGTAAGATGGTCGTCGACGTCGAAGGTGAACGTAGGCTGAGGAAGATATGTGGAGTGTAGTCGGACACGACGTGATGGCTTCTTGTTGTCTTCGCGAGTTGTGTTCTGGAGACGTCGATCTTGCGTGGTGTCGTAGGTCGTGCGCGGGGATCGCGCGTAGATCTGCGTGCGGTGATGCTGGCGCGCGTGGTGCTCCGGGGCGTTTGTCGTCCTCGTCGTTCCGACAATGGTGAGTCGTACTTGCGGACTTGCTTCTTTCGCGATTGTGCGTTGCATCTCCGCCGTTGGGGTCAATATTTGACCCGGGCGTTGTCCATACCGCTTGTTCTGGATGTGTTGTGCGGTCTCCGTTGATCTGGGTTTGCGGTGGTCAGGTCCGAGTACGAATCTACCACGTGAACCGTGTGTTCTGGAGACGTCGATCTTGCGTGGTGTCGTAGGTCGTGCGCGGGGATCGCGCGTAGATCTGCGTGCGGTGATGCTGGCGCGCGTGGTGCTCCGGGGCGTTTGTCGTCCTCGTCGTTCCGACAATGGTGAGTCGTACTTGCGGACTTGCTTCTTTCGCGATTGTGCGTTGCATCTCCGCCGTTGGGGTCAATATTTGACCCGGGCGTTGTCCATACCGCTTGTTCTGGATGTGTTGTGCGGTCTCCGTTGATCTGGGTTTGCGGTGGTCAGGTCCGAGTACGAATCTACCATCTATAAAAATCCTACCAACCCGTAGAGTAACGAGGGTCCGAACCTGGGTTTTCCCAATACGGTTCAAATGGTCGCAAGACCGGGACTCTGCCAACCGGTTTATGGTTGTAGTCAGGAGCACTACGCGTCCTCGCCTTGTAACATGCTGTCAAAATCGAAAAACATGTTATGCTAATGTCAGTAATGATGTCAGCATGCATGCACCTCATGATCAAAATAATGATAAAAATGCTAGTATTGTAGTAATAAAAAGCCAAAACTTGCAAAAGGCCAGGCGAAGCATGCACAACAATGTAAATTCGACTGCATTTTGGAGTTTACCGTCAAGGTGGAGATCAAATAATTTGAAAACGTTTTTCGGTGAATCTCTCCGGCTGGAGAAGAACGGTGCAAAAGCAAACTGTCCATGCATGTCCTGGTCAGTCCTGTGGTCGCAATACTGGGACTGTACCCGAAACCGGTCCGCCGTCTGTGTGGTCTTCGTGATCTCCTATAGACCACAAATTGCACATAAATTTTGGCCAGTGTTTCTCCGATCCTACGGTTTTTTTCAGAAAAGGGATCATAGCCCCTGCATAAAAGTCCTCGAAACCAGGTTCTGCCTGCAGTGGTTGCCGCCAGGAACCACTGTGACTGACATTGTTTCCCGGCATAGAGACTCTCCCCGGCGGCTCACCCCGTGACCCGGCCTTGCCAACTTTGGTGTGTTCGACTGTTGTGCTGTCCTCAGGCTCCGCTCAGTCTTCTGGTCCGCATCAGTCCGGCATATCGGATCAAGCCGCGGTTGCGAGGCGATGATCTGCTGGCTCTGAGTTTTGTATGGGCACTGACCAGGGAGTGACTGTCACATTGAGTGCTTTGTATTTTAAAGCCTGCCGTCTCATACAGACTGAGCCCGCTGTCATAGAAGCCCGGCTGATTTTAATGCCAAATGATACACTGGCAGCACATAAGCCTGGTTTTAGTGTACCTGGCTTGAACTTCAAAGTAGAAGTCTGATTTGAATAGAAGCCTAGCCCCGGCTCAGGACATCGGCTTCTACACTGGGAATAAGCCCGGCTTTAATCCACGACATTATGGCCGGTGCACATGTACTGCGACTCCCTGGCGATGACATTACAGTCAGACCTCGCATAGCCGCACACATCCGTTTTCGACAAAGATCAGTATCCGGATAGGCGAGGGAACCGGATAATCGAACACACATACTGTATGTATGCATGGCATATGCTGTAAATCGGTAACCAACGATTTTCTTCCAGATGGCGAGGGATCCGGATGAAAGAGGACCGCCGGGATAAGCGAGGTCTGACTGTACACACACTAGACAGAGAGACTCAGGGTTGATCAGCGGCAAAGACATGCAGCACTGAGCACACCACCGTGGAGGGGCACAGGAGCCCCGGGCACCATGGTACACGACTCAATCACTGCTGGTCACGGTTACAGGTAACCATGGTAACGTTGCCGGTTTGGGTAACAGCGTCATGTTACACTCAGTGAGGTGCAGGACACACTAGTACACCGTGCTTGAAAAACACACAGCGCTCCTTACTACAACCTTGGGCTGAAACGATCATTTAATAACTCCTAGCAATCCACCAATATCATTAACGATCGTTACATTGGTTTATCGATTCTTGTCGGCTCTCTCGTGTACCTCGAATACCAAAAGTAATTTGTGGCACCGCACTATTGACATCTGTAGACATCTGGCCGGTTTTCAACATGAACTAGAGAATGTCATGTTGTTTCTAGAGCCTGTGACGAATCTTGTCACCACCGGCCCTCTGGCAACTGCTCTCATCTCCAACTTCTCCCACAAATGAGCCCAAAAGACCACGGCTTCTCTCCCGATCTCTTTCAAAGCCACAAATCAATTTCACTGCGCTTGGAAGTACATGATTGCACTCGTATTCACTATCGGATGAGGTGCAAGGGCTAGAATACGGTCACTGACATGCATACATAAAAAATCCTTAGCACACGTTTTGAACACGAACGAATATCGATTGCACTCTCAGTAACGATCGGTATTCGAGTTACCGGTATATGATTGTTTCAGCCCTACTACAAACCTCCACAGTTGGCTACGCAAGACCATTTTGTGGAGGCTGTAGTAAAAAGCAGTGTTCTTTTTCTTTTCAGCACAGTGTGTCCTCTGCCTTGTAACCATGGTCACATGCCGCTGTCAACCAAACCGGACATGTTTTCAACAAAACAAGGCGTATCGCACTGTAATAGGTACCAAACCAGCAGTGGTTATGCACAGTCAGGGAGGATTGCATGATTACAGTATCTGATGGTGTATACACAACGTCATCACTGCGTGAGCTTAGTATTCGAAAATACACTTATGCTACAAAAGCAGAAGAGAACAGAGACAGCAGAAGAGAACAGAGACAGCAGAAGAAAACACAGACAGCCAGCTAGGTCATTGTTGTGCTTGTAACACTGCGTTTCATGCACATAGCAAAGCTAAGGCAATCCTCAGACAACTGATAACCTGTACATCATCCGGGTCCAAATTTACACCCAGGCAGGTAGCTAAAACAGGGCGCGCACACTTATGCACTTATGCTATGTACAAAAAAATGTGAGGACTGAATGAGAAATGTAACCGAGCGGATCATTCGGCCCGGGAGACCTGGCGGCTGAACTAGTGCTGTTGGTCTCATTAACACTTAGCACAACATTGCTATGTGTTCCAGTGCTACATAGCCATATGTCAGCGGGATCGCATAGTTGCCAGAACTAATACGAGGCGCGGTGGCGGGCAAGAAGGGCAGCCAATAGAGGTGCAACCCAAAAAGAAGTTAGCGAACATCACAATGTAAGCCATCGTCACCGAAAGAGCTGTGCATACATTGTGCACGTACATGTTTGTATGTGTGTGTGTGTGTGTGTGTGTGCGTACGTGTGCGCGTGTGTGTGTGTGTGTGTGTGTGTCAGTGTGTGTGTGTGTGTCCATAACGGACTTGGTTAGTTGTAGGCAGCAGCATGGTTTCTTCACAGTGTCGACTAGGATAGCTGCTCATGGAGTCACATGACAGGGTTGATAGTGTCACATGACAGGGTTGATAGTGTTGCGTTGCCCGGTCTGCTACTTAGACTGCTTACTCACCATGTATGTGTGTGTGCAGCTTCAGTTAGCTATGTGACCTGGACAGACATACAGACACACAGACAGACAGGTGGACGGATGGATGGACGCCCGGACAGACGGACGCACATGCACGGACACAGTGTCTGCTCCAGGATTGTAGGACAGCCGGGTACACGTGTACCTGGCGCAACCATTTCAACCGGGTCGGAGCCGAGTACACATACAGTACCTGGCGCTGTCTCACCAGCCGAGTCATATGCGAGGACGGCGAAAACCTACACCAGTCGTAAACTCGTTTCAACTAACTTTCAACTGTTCACTAGCACTTAGCGCGCGGATCCGCGGATCCGACATAGTCACACTGACTACTTTCATTTCGACGCGTGCCTCTGCATGATCTGTCACACATACAAGCCATGTAGTCAGTCCTTTCAAAGTTCGAACGTGTAAAGTACCAACCGGGTCACAGGTGACCCGGTACTATATTTTCAACCGGGTCCAAGCGCCGCCCCACCGGGTCGATTACCCGGCTCACCCGGCTCTGGAGCAGACACTGGGACACATGTACGACATGGTGTGCATAGCGCACATAAGCGCACCATATCGTGAGAAATGAAGTCTCCTAAATGTGTAAATGGCTGCATTGGAATTTGCGGACAATTAGAAAAGTCTATAAATCAGTCTAAGTTAATATCTGAATTTAGGATAGCATCGATCCTCACCTTAGCAATGTTTTATGACTGCGAAGACATGTGCTTTGACTTGCGGAACAATGCATACAGTAGCCTGCATGGATTAGTCACAAACACAGACAAGACAGAAGAACAAGAATGAAGTGAGTGAAGCACCAATATCAGTGAGCAAAGGCTGCCCAACTCGTACCGGTATATCCCAGGCATGTCTTTAGCCTGCCATTGAGCCATAGTACACGGGGGGGGGGGGGGGGGGGGCACAATGGGCACAACTCTCCTCGGAGGTCAGTTTGCCACTATAATCCAGTATAACCTATTGAGCCATGGGACATGATGCCGCGACGTTCTGCTGTCGTACCAGCAGTGGATAGAGGTTGCAAAAGCAGTGGTACACGCTTACAGGGTTACCGGCACAAACTACTGTTTATTGCAAGACGACTACGGAAACACAACTATACACGACGAACTCAACACGAAGGCTGACGTCCAACCAGACTGGTCGAAACCTGTCCCACCGCACTGACCTAAACATGTCCCACTGGACTGACCTAAACATGTCCCACTGGACTGACCTAAACATGTCCCACTGGACTGACCTAAACATGTCCCACTGGACTGACCTAAACATGCCCCACTGGACTGACCTAAACATGTCCCACTGGACTGACCTAAACATGTCCCACTGGACTGACCTAAACATGTCCCGCTGGACTGACCTAAACATGTCCCACTGGACTGACCTAAACATGCCCCACTGGACTGGTCGAAACCTGCCCCAACCAGACTGATCAAAAACCGCCGGACTGACCCAAACATGTCCCACTGGACTGGTCGAAACATGTGCCCGACGCACCGGCTGCCACTCACCTGAAAATAGTCTTCAGGTCGCCGTTGACGAGGTCGTCGGGAGTGACGGGACAGGTGGCCGAGATGATATTCTGCTGCTGCATGACGCGTATGACCAGACCGTTGTTATGCAGGTACTCGTCCTTGATGGTCGGGTTGATGCTGTAATCTTGAAGAGGTATGAAGTACTTGCCTGCACATAGGAACACATCAATTCGGAAAGAGTTTACAGGTTTGGAGTGGTTTTCAAACTCGATTCAGGTCGAATTTGCCTGTAGCGATCTCGCCGCATGACGTCAGTCGGTGCTAGTCAGTCACTAGCACGGCCTTATAAGCATGCGCAAGAAACACTTCTTCCTCTTTGCTCTAAATAAAACAACAACTAAACTTGACTCGGATGTTGAGCCAATAGTAAGTATGTAAAGAGAAAAGGACCTACACGTTACTATTTATGACTAACCCCCTTCCCCTCCTTGGCATTTTCCGCACCTGAGCCTTCCAAGTTGGAAGGTTGTTTGTTTGCGCTTCGTAGATGTGTTGGAGCTAGGTGTCAGGTCGTCGAATGTCTCAATATCCTTGTCAGTGTTGTGCCTTGTTGTCACACTATCTGACTGTATAATTATTATCTCGTTACCTTGGTTACCTTGGTTACCTTGGTGGACTGTTAGTCATAACTATTAACTTACAGGTCTCTTTCTCTTTACATAAAACAACAACTATTAGACAAAGTTGCGCTCTCGTCGGAGTTGTAATTATTAGGCCCCAGGGTGGTATGTCCCTGGATTCATCTGTCTCCACCTGACCAGATAAGACCTCTGCCACCTTGGGTGCCTAAACGCCTCAAACCTGGATTCTAATTCGGCCGGAAATGGATTTTGAATAGGTTCTGGCTATGGAGAGCCTGGCTGGAAGTATAAATCTACGATGCTCCCAGATGTTGACAGTAGTCGGTGTGTGTGTGTGTGTGTGTGTGTGTGTGTGTGTGTGTGTGCATGTGTGTGTGCATGTGTGCGCGTATGTGCGTGTGTGTGTGTGGGTGTGAGTGTGTGTGTGTGTGGGTGTGAGTGTGTGTGTGTGCATGTGCGTGTGTGTGTGTGCGCGTACGTGTGTGTGTGGGGGGGGGTGTGCGTGTGTGCGTGCGTGCGCACACGTGCGTGTGTGTGGGTGTGTGCGTGTGCATGTGTGTATATATGTGTGTATGTATGTGTGTGTGTGTGTGTGTGTCAGCTAGTTCGGTTGGTGGGTACACTTATGCCAGATAGTGTTGGGCCTGTTGCCAACGGGCTCGGCTGCTTGAAGGTGTATTGTTGTACCTACCACCTTTGTTGGTTTCAGGGTTCATATACTTTCTATTTGAAGTATACGTACTTGTTAACCATGGACTGCTTCTGGCTAGATAAACTCTTGTGTAATCAATGGTGCTAGTGAAGCTTTTATCAGAT